CTTAAAACAATAAGTAAAAAGTCCAATATGAAGAGTGGCTACATCTAAAGTTTATACTTGGATCAAGTGAGAAATCCAAACTGTAGACTGTGGGCATTTCTAGGTGGTACGGGGATTATGGTCAAATGATATAGCCAAAGTCTGGGGGGAAGCCACCTCTCTACTTAGGAAATTAATATTGAATTAATATCAAATTTAATATTTCCTATATTAAACCTTTGAGGAAGATAAAAATAGCACCTCCACACAAAAAGCTGAGGAGAACTCCAGCTCCTCCATTCTTTGCCAAGTTTAATAGCACAGCCTGTTTGGTGCTGTGATTAGTGTTTATATAGAATTCAACTCAGAATGCAAAGAAGTCATATTTCCTCCAAAGTACACACAATTTGGCCATCAACAATAAGTATTTATTTAGGACTGATAATCTGTCAAACTCTGTCAGGCATGGCGGGGGACATCACAGAATTTTTAAACAACAAGATTTTTCCTCTCACTGAAAAGATCAGATCAGAAAACATAATTTGTTGTTGTTGTTAGTTGCCCTCGAGTCAGCTGTGACTCCTATGTAAAAAAAGAATGAAAAGTTACCCAGTCCTATGCAATCTTCATAATTGTCGGTGTGTTTTAGTCCATTGTTGTGGCTATTATGTTTATTCATTTCACTGAAGGTTTCCTTGTTTTCACTGATCCTCTACAAAACAGGATATCCTCTTCTAGCTACTGGATAATACCATCCTGTTACTGATTAATAGTGCTCCCAAAAATATCCGTTGAATTCCTGGTCCTTAAACTTGTGGATGTGATGCTGTTGGAAAAAGGCTTTTTCTTTGTTATGCTAATGAGGCCATACCAGTGTAGAGTAGATCATACACCTAATCACTTCTGAGTTATAAAAAGACCAGAATAGACACAGAGGCACACACAGCATGGAGACAGATGCTAAAAAACACCAAGGAACGCTGGCAGACACCAGAAACTGAGAGAGCCATACAGAATGAATCAATATGGCTGAGACTCTGATTTGGACTTCTGACCTCCACAACTGTGAGAAAATAAACTTGTTATTTAAAGTCACTCATTTGTGGTATTTGTGTCACAGCAAGCACTAAGTAATTGAAACATATTCCATTTTTGTACAGCATTTAAAACATTCTATATCTCACTTAATGTCACATTAATGAGAACAATTAATGGCAAAATTATATAGTAATCATTATAAATAAAATAGAACCAGCACTGTGATTAGAAAAAAAAAAATTTCATTTACCAAAGCCCTGAAACCTGAGTCAACCTAGGTAAGTTTCTGTGTGCTATTTTCGAGGTGGGAGGCTTTCAGAATAAATAACTTGACACCCAGTTCTGTAGTAAACCTAAAATGTTACTAACCTTTAGACATAAAAGTCCTCCTTGATGAACCCCTTTCTTTCATTAGCCCTATTCAGTGATGCTTGTCAATTTTTCTTCCAGAATCTCCCATTGAGCCCTTCCATTTCTTTCCAACTGTCCTCACTTCTTGCCTAGATTTGCTCATTCATTCATCATGATTTACTGAGTGCCTAGGGTTGCTATGAGTCAGAATCGACTCAACGGCAATGGGTTTGGCTTTAGTTATTATCTATCTGCCAAACACAGAGCTAGACCCTGGTCCCTTCTCTTAGGAAGCTAAAATGATACTAGGTAGAGTTGTTATCTGCCCATCTCGATCTCCGAGATTACAAATTTTTGCAAAGACTTTGTATTTCCAGAACCTAGCAAGATCTGGCATATAGCAGACACTAAAAGTGTTTGTTGTATGACACTAGATTGCTTTAACAAGCTCTTTTTTTAATTCATAAATATTTAAGTATGTATCCTCAAAAAGATAAGGGCTTTTTTTTTTTTTTTTAAATACAAAAGCAACATGTGTGCAATGCAAAAATACAGAAAGGTATTAAGTAAAAAGAGAACTTCCGAACCAACCAAATTCCACTCCCCAGAAGTGACTACTGTCAGTTTGGTGTGTATCTTTCCAGAACTTTTCTGTTAGTAGACAACAACAACAACATACACACATATAGAGTTTTTTGGAACAACTTCTTAGAGAGTTTCTGCCTCTGTCTTATCAACCATCTAATCCAGTCGTTCTCAGAGTGTGGTCCCTGGACCAGCAGCATCAGCATCACCTGGGACTTGGTAGAAATGCAAATTCTTGGGGCCCATCCCAGATCTACAGAATCAGAAATTCTGCAGCTGCGACCCAGCAATCTGGGTTTTAGCAAGCCCTCCAGTTATTCTGATGCACACTCAAGTCTGAAAACCACTGATCTAATCCAACGAAGCCACCCTGGTCAAGATAGCTTTTTTTTTTTTTTTTTTTACTGCCCCCTGAACATGTCAGGTGCTGATATCTTGGCTCAGTTTTATCATCTATGCTTTACAATGTTTTCCTTGTCCTTTTGATTAATTCTGACCCTACCAATTTGTCAAAGCCCAGAAAGTCTTAACTTTTCCTCAAAGTGCTCTGTCACTATCACAGCTCATATTGATCTTTCTTGTCCTTCTCCAACTCCTATGACCCATTTAGTCTCACAGAATTAACAGTTAACACAATTAACAAATAGTTATATGCTGTTTCATAGCATTTAATATTAGAGAACAATTCTTTACTCTTCCTCAATAGACCATAAATTCCGAGGACATGAACCATATTTTTTTTAATCTATTCTCCCAATCCTGTTCTAAGCACCAAAACCAAACCCGCTGCCACTGAGTTGATTCCAACTCATAGTGACCCTACAGGACAGAGTAGAACTGCCCTATAGGGTTTCCAAGGAGTGCCTGGTGGATTTGAACTGCCGACCTTTTGGTTAGCAGCTTTAGCTCTTAAGCACTATGCCACCAGGGCTCCAAAGGGAGGTACAGCCAAGGGAAATTGAAGGGCAAGGAGGAAGAAAAGAAGGGCAGCAGGAAAACCTCATCCTTAAAGTAATGAAAAGGATCTGTGGAAACTCACCGGTCTTTACCACGAACCTACTATGAGCCAAGGAGCCCCGGCAGCACAAATGGTTAAATGCCTGGCTACTAACCGACAGGCTGGCCGTTTGAACCTACCCAGCAACTCCGAGGGAGAAAGATCCAGTGATCTGCTTCCATAAAGATTACAGCCAAGAAAACCCTACACAGGGCAGTTCTACTGCCACGTGGGGTTGCTATGAGTCAGCATTGACTTGAAGGCACCGAACAACAGGCACGTGGGACTAACAGTCTTTACCCTGTTGTTTGTGTGTGTGTTTAAATACGTGATTCTTAGAGAACCAAACCCGTCAAGTCGATTCCGACTCATAGTCATCCTATAGGACAGTGTAGAACTGCCCAATAGGGTTTCCAAGGAGTGGCTGGTGGATTCGAACTACTGACTTTTTGGTTAGCAGCCAAGCTCTTAACCCCTGCGCCACCAGGGCTCCTCTTAAAGAGAACAAATCCTGATAAACCCGACAAATGCTAAAACAGAGGAATAAAGTGTCCCACACAAGTAAGAATTATTAATTCTAATTGGGAAAATCAAGCAGGGAAGTCTTCACAGAGAAGGTGGTGATTTAGTGGAGCATTTGAAATACGAGGAGAATTTGCTAAGGGAGAAGACTTGAGCACGTTAGTGTTGAAAAAAAGAATGTTTGAGCTAGTTATTTTGGGGAGAAAACATTCATATATTTTTACAGCAGTTCATTTGGGACTTTAAATCATGGGAGGCTTCTTAAATTCAACACTTCTTCGTCAATGTTCTTTCTCCTTTTACTTAAATACTGAAATGTTCAAACCTAGTGTTGAAGCAGTGCCAGAAAGCTCCAGAATAAGGTGAGTGCTAGCCAAATCTGCTCTGTCACCTCCAAGTCCAGCCAGCCCAACTAGCCCAGTACTGTTCTCCTGGCAGCCACAAAAAGAAGGCTAATTATATCCTCTGTGGGGCCAGACTTGGTGGGGGGTAGAATCTGGATGCAGGCAGACTACTCTTACTAAGCCCTGTTCTGCCAGTAAGCCACCAAGAAGAGCTTCCTTGTCTCCTAAATTGAGGCTCATACTCTACCTGTGACAGGGAGGCCAGCTCTGCAGGAAAAAGGCTGCATGAAAAGGAAGGATGTTAACAGTGGATTGAGGATAGCTGAGGTATTAAGATAATCAATGAAACGCTTAGCAAGATCCCTGGCACACAGCAAGCATTTGATAAACGTTAGCTCTTATTATCATTCCTACTACTGTTATCACAGTAACGCCTCAAGTGGACTCTAACAACAGAAAATACTGTTTTCACAGCCCACTTTTATGACGTTTGAGAAGCAACTCCAGAGATGACAAGCATGAGTTATTTCAGATTTTTTAAAAGGTACAAGATCAAAGTCCAACTACACTGGCCTGAAGATCCTGCATTCGAGGGCTGACTCTGTCACTTATCAGTCGCGTGACCTTGGGCACGGCACTTCACCTCTCTGTGCCTCAGTTTCCTCAATTGTTAAGTGTGGCTAAGAAGCCCTCTTGCAGGGCTGCTGTGGGGCCCCGCCAGAGGGTGTTCTTTGCTGCTCCGGAACTACAAGGGTGCAAAGCCAGCTCACGGCCCATCTTCCAAGACCCCTGGCTCCGGGGCAGGCGGAGTGGATGAATGCCCGGTCCCTAGGCCCACCGAGCTCCGCCGCGTGCAGGGCAGGCGCGGGAAACAAGAGGCTCCTGCGGTGGGTCCCTGCGACCTCGGGTGCCGGGCGCCGGAAGGGTCGACCCCCACCTCCCGCACGCTATAGACGGCGGGTTCAGCGCGGAACCCCTGAGCCCTGGCAAGGGGAACGGCCGCGGCCGGGCTGACCGGGGTCCGGCGGGCGAGGTGGAATGCGCTGGGGATACCCGGAGGCCGGCAGCACGGGCCCCCGAGCACTGCTGCGCCGCGGAGATGAAGTGCGGAGCGAGAAGGGGAACGAAGCCCCCGCATGCAGCGCCGCGCGCCCCCCGCGGGCCGGGCTGAGGCGCTCACTCACCTGAGGCACCGGCAACCGCCGTCAGTGCAGCAGCAGCAGCCACAGCTGGGGGTGGGGGGACTTGGCGGGGAGGTGCTGCAGCCGCGCAGGCGCACTGAGGATGTCGGAGCCGCGCAGGCGTGCTGCGCCGTCCCGCCTCGGAAACTACCGAGAAAATGGTGGCCGATCAGGGAGGGACCCTCGGCGCCATTTTGGATGTAGTTTTTCTTGTTGCGGAGCCGCCAGAGAAGAATCACAAACTAGAGCTGCCGGGAGGGGGCATTGAGTGCCCGACGACTTCTTCCCCTTTCCCCGAGTCACGTTCTTAAGAATCCTCTAAGAACCCTTCAAGGCATGGCATCCTCTTCTTACATACGCCCAGAGAGGGCCAGTGATACACCCAAGGTCACACAGTGTTACAACGGCGTCCGGCGTGTTGAAACTAATTAATAAATTTTTAGTGAATGAATACAACTAGAACCCAAGACTCAGGTCTCCTAATTCCCAGTTCTCCATTAAAACATCTATTACAGCTGCCAGCCACACTATCTACTTTATTAAGAGTGCAACATAAATTTTTTTTTCCCCAGAATGCACACATTAAGCTTAAACAATTTAAATAATACCAAAATGCACAGAACATAACTTCTAAAGAATTTTTTAGTTAGCCTAGTAGTTCTTTAATATTAAGTACTACTGATTAAGAAGCTCTGGTGGCGCAGCAGAACCCTGATGGCACAATGGTTAAGAGCTACCGCTCAGCACTTGGAATCCACCAGCCGCTCCTTGGAAACCCTATGGGGCAGTTATACTCTGCCCTATAGAGTCGCTGTGAGCTGGAATCACTGGACAGCAAAGGAGTTGGTTATTTTTTGGTAGTGCAGTGGTTAAGAGCACTGGCCGCTAACCAAAAGGTCATCAGTTCAAATCCACCAGCCACTCTTTGGAAACACTATGGAGCAGTTCTACTCTGTCCTATAGGGTAGCTATGAGTTGGAATCCACTGACCGCCAAGGGCGGGGAGGGAGGGCGGGGGGACATTTATTACTGATGAAAAGGTATTCTCTTAACTATAGCAGGGCAAATGGAACAAATATTACCAAACATCTATAAGGCAGCAACTGTATAAAATAGTATTTTATTGTGTTTTCAGTGACAGTTTACACAGCAAATTAGGCTCCCGTTTAACAATTACTACACAAATTGTTCACGGACATTGGTTACATTTTCCACATTAATTCCTGTCTTGGTCATCTAGTGCTGCTACAACAGAAATACCACGAGTGGATGGCTTTAACAGAGAAATTTATTTCTTCAGAGTAAAGTAAGCTAACAATCCAAATTCAGGGCGTCAGCTCCAGGGAAAGGCTTTCTGTCAGCCTTCTCATCAATTTTCCCCTGGACTAGGAGCTTCTCCACACAGGGACCCCGGGTCCAAAGGACACGCTCTGTTCCTGGCACTGCTTTCTTGGTGGTATAAGGTCCCCAATACTCTGCTTTCTTCCCTTTCATCTCTTGTAAGGTAAAAGGTGGTGCACGCCACACTCCAGGCAAACTCCCTTTACATTGGATCAGGGACATGACCTGGGTAGGGGGGTGTTACAATCCTACCCTAATCGTCTTTAACATAAAATTACAATCACAAAATGGAGGCCAACCACACAATTCTGGGAATTATGGCCCAGTCAAATTGGTATACACATTTTTGGGGGGACGTAAGTCAAACCATGACAATTCCACTCTGGATTTTTGCTTCCAGTAATCCAGTTTCCCCGTCCCCTTATCCTTTCATTTTTGCTTTAGAGTAATTGTTACCATTTTGTCTCATATAGGTGATTTTTCAAAGGTGTGCAGAACTCACTGGTAAAATTCTTTATTTTATGAGCCAATCTCTTATTTTGCCAAAAGGTGACCTCACGAGGTAGCTTTGGTTCTAGGTTTATGAAGTATCTCAGGTTGATAGTCTCAGAGAGTCCTCCAGTCTCACCCAGTTCAGTAAGTCTGGACTTTTTGAGAATTTGAGTTCTGTTCCACATTTTTCTCCCCTTTTATCAGGATCCATCTACTGTGGCCCTGATCAGAATGGTCCTTAGTGGTAGACGGGCACCATCTAGTTCTTCTGGTCTCAAGACAGATGTGTTATTCATCTTTGTAGATTCAGCCTCAATCACAATTCCTGAACCGAATTTGGGAAGAGGGAAAAACTAACATTAATTGAGCACAGCCCCTTATTACATGATTTAGGTTCATTCATTAACAAATATTTACTGAGTGCCAAACTGGTTCTGATTCACCCTCCACTATCTGTAGGTTGTTGGTTAGGTTATTAAGCCTTTCCATGCCTGAGTTTCTCATCTATCAGGAGAAAAAAACAGAATTTATCTCATAAGGTTGTAGTAAGAATAACAGTATGCATGTAAAACATTTAGAGCTTAATAAGTGTTGTTATTTCTCTATGCTTTATCCTGCTTAGCTGTCGAAGACACGAAAACACACTTCTCCTTGAGCTTGAATAAATTTTTATAATTCAGTACGATATAAATAAAATGGAGAAAGGTACAACCACCTTTGGAGAGAGATAATCAATCCTCATTTTACAGATGAGGAAACTGAGAATAAGAGATGAAGATTCATTCTAAAATCTACACGCATTCCATTATACCACTGTTTCCAAGAGTACGCTATTAACACTACTCCTTTGATTCTTAAATGTTGGCTTTTCTTGGGGCTTTTTCTTGTACTATTCTCTGGACAATCTCATTCATCCCCAAGGCTTCAATAACTAGACATTCGTAATTCCAAAATTTTTATCTCTAGTCCAGATTTTTCTACCCAGCTTTCCACCTGTATATCCAAGTCTACTTGACTTCTAAACTGAACTACTGGCATTTACATCTTGATTTGTTTATCATCCATTCAGTTGCTCAAGTCTTAAACACCCTTCCCTACTCCCCATCATATTGATACCACTGTTCTAAACTTATTACTGTATTATTTAATCTAATCCTTATAACATCCTTGTGATATAGGTTCTAACATTCTCCCAGTTTTATAGGTTTAAGAGGTAACTTTTCTTGGTCAATTAGTCAACGGCAGAGCTAGGCTTTTAACAAATAGATTACATGTCTACTACGTTCCAGGCACAATGAGCAATACAGGCAGTCCTCATTCATGTACTGCCAACACTTAGCATAAACCATCATTTCTCAGGCAGACTACTATATAGTCTTAACTGGTCTCCCACATCCATATCTTGCTTGCTTCAATCTATTCTTCACACCGTGACTAGAATGATCTTTTAAAAAATAAAGTTCTGATCATATCTCTCTTCCTCTTAAAATCTTCTAACGATGTCTTGATTTGTCTTTGTCTCAGGTCACTCTTCCACTGGTGCTCTGCACTCCTGCTTTGCTTGTGTTTTTTGTGACCCAGAATGTTCCGCTCTCCCTCTCTCCTAAGGTCTTTGAAAATTCTGCAACTTTTGCCTGAAATACTTGCCCCATCTAGCTCCTTCATCCTTCCCAAATCAGCTAAAACATCATTTCTAGAGTTTTCTCTTCTTGTTCCCTGAGTTCCCACTAGACTATGAGCTCCATGAGGGGAGGTCCCATATATGTTTTTGTTCTTTGATCTCTCTCCAGTTCCTAAAGCTGTACCTGTAACAGGGTCTCAGTAAATATATGAATGAAGCACCTTGAGTGCCTTGTTACAGAAAAGCTGCCTAAGGTCACTGACAAGATCCAGAGCAACATGTGGTAGGCAGTTTTGTAGATGAATAAGGAATGAATGTAGGTTCGTTGCATACTGCCTGAGGTCTTAAAGCTTGCAAGCAGCCATCCAAGACACAACAACTGGTCTCTTTTCGCCTGGAACAGAGGAAGAAGGAGAGTAAGCAACAGGAGGAGGATATGGAATAATGTGGTGAATTGCCTCCATGAAAAACTGCCTCCTTTGCTTTGAGACCAGAGATACTGGATGGTGCCCAGCTACCATCAGTAAACATTTTGATCAAAGATTCCATAGAAGAATTCTGATCAAAAAGGGGAAAATACAGAACAGAATTTCAAATTTTCATGGACCCCAGACACCATGGAGCCATAATGGTTGGACGAACCCCTGAAACTATTGCCCTGAGATAATCTTTAAACCTTAAACCAATAATATGCCCTGAAGTCTTCTTAAAACCAAACAATAGTTTAGCTTAACTAGTAAAAAAAAGTCTGCCTCGAGCATTATGCTCTTTTAAGAACTATCTATATGGGATCAAATTGACAACAGCAACTTGAAAGATTAGACAGGAATCTTAGGGACAGTGAATTTATGTTAAATGGGGGAGGAACAGCTCAGAAAAGGAGGGTGAGAATGGTTACACAACTTGAAGAATTTAATCAATGTCACTAGATGGTAAATGTAGAAACTGTTGAACTGATGTTATGTTTTGCTGTGTATATTCTCAACTACAACGCAACAAAATAAAAGGGAAAAAAAAAATGAATGTAGGTCAAAGAAAGGAGACATCATCTTTCACAAATTGGTGCTTGGACCAAGGTTTAAGACTTAAGATTACAACTGGGTATTTTAAATGAAATGAGTTCTATCCCACCAAGGGGATCAGAGAATAAGAAACATTAACAATAAATTAGTTGGTGTTTTATTGGTAATTAATGCTGAGGACTATCTGCACACTACTGTTTACTTCAGCATCTTGGCAGAGAATTCTACCTTCTGCTAAATCATCCTTGTCACTTACTTTTTTATGCACTCAAAATATTCACAAAGAAAACAGCAAGCTTTTTAATTATATGCAATTTTAGAATGCAAACTATTAACAAGCATAGACAACAATCAAAAAGAGAACTTAGCCCCTTCATGTCACTACAGACATCAGGGCAGACAGAGTGATATTTCCTTCAATTTGGACACCTTGTGAAGTGATATACACATCCCAATGACATAAATAACGCTCAAAACTCTTCTACCTAAAATCATCTTCAGAGCCACACAAGAAAACTGGTCTCCTGCCTTTACAAGCAGAACCCAATCTGGCCCCAAAAATGTTTCACGGGACTTGGTCTCAAATGACTGGACTGTTTCAAAAACTGTAAAACATCTTCAGAGGTTGACGATTTCTGACCACTGGTCTGAATGCACCACTGGTTCTGAAGGTCATTCTAAAAAAGAAGTTTCAAGCATTTTGTACATTAATGGAAAAAGCGTCTATGCTTCCATGGAAACTACTACCTTTGAGGGTAACGACGTTCTCCTGGATGCATAAATTCTGGCACTCTTAGAAAAAAATCAAAGTGCTTTACAGTCACTTAGTCACCTTCAAAGGCAAAAGAGCCGCCAGACTATCAGAGATCACCAACTCAGAATGCCAGGCAGTCACCTTGTGCTGGGACACTCTTCCCATTCCTCTCATCTTGAGTGCTTATGGCAGAAAAGCTGCATAAAGTCACTGACAAGATCCAGAGCAATGTGTGGTAGGCGGATTTCGTAGCCGAAGCTTGAGCAGTTTTCGAGCTGGTGAGGGATCTATTTGTTGCATGCTTCTCTTCCCTGCAGAGGAAGGGAGCCAAAAAATAAAATTTCAACTGAATTCATATAACATTTATTGAAAACTTACTGTGTGGTCACGTGCCAGACAGTGAAGTACACAACAATGACAAATAAGAGAATCTCTGCCCTCAAGGAGATGGCAGCCTGGTAGGAAAGCCAGTCGCAACTATAATAGATACAACAGGTTGCGATAAATAAGAAAATTCAGGTGTGTACAGCAATTAATTTAGGTTAGGAAAAGCTACAGAGAAGTAATGTCATTGTCATTTGAGTCTTGAAAAATAAAAAGAAAAAAGGCAACAGATATTTCTTAAGACCTGGATTTACCAAAACAACACAGTTCATGGGCATTTAATTATCAGCCCAGCGTGCTTCTGTGAAATTTGTATCTGGAAATTTCCCATCGACTATGAGTATCTACAACATACTAGTTATTATGTGCGTGTGTCGGGGGGAGGGATCGCCTGATACAGTCGTTACCCTCTGGACCATATGCTTTGAAGACCAGTTTGTGTCTGAAGAGCTGGCTACCGGACATGTAACAGCCCCATGCTATCATTTCCTAAAGAGGCATGCTTACCAAGCTGTACTGACACCTTCTGGAGACACTCGGTACTTTCATCCATAAAGGCATGCAGCTGCTTCACTGATCCTTGCAGTTCATCCATCTGCAGACAACAGATAGTTGTGAGCTGTAAGGGGTCACTGGCTTCTTTGATGTTTCTCAAACACGCCAGGCAAGCTCCTGCCTCGAGAGCTTTCTGTTTGCTATTCTTTCAAATTGGAATGCTTATGCCCAACATTTTCTGCTTGCTCCTCCAGATCCACACTCTACTCTTCTCCATCTCCAGATCCATATGACCTCTAACAACAGGACCCCAAGTCCTCTGGCTTCTGGTTGGCTTTGGTCAACAAGGAGCCCAAATAGGAGGGAACTGAACAAAGTCAGGGTATTTGTTATCCAGGATTGCTCCTGGAAGGGTCATTTTGAGTTGGCTCTGTCCCCCAACCGAAAGTCATCGTTCTCTCAAAGCAGCTGACTATGTGACTTTCTCCCTCCAGGTGCCACTGTAACTGCTCTCCCAGTTGTTCCTTTGGGTCCAGAGGTAGTAAAAGCTCAGCTGCTTCTAAGTCACAAATTACTTCACAAATTCTTGTAGCTTCCCAACACTCACATTTTATACATTAAAAAAAAAAGTTGCCGTCGAGTTGATTCAGACTCATGGCAGCCCCATGGGTGCAGAGTTAGAACTGTGGTGCACAGGGTTTTCATGGCTGTGAACTTTCGGAAGCAGATCACCAGGCCTTCTCTTTCGAGGTCCCTATGGGTGGATTCGAACCACCAACCTTTCGGTTAATAGCTAAGAGCTTAAACATTTGCAAAACACAGGGCACACTTTTATACATAGTCCCTCATAAATAAACTCTCCTCGATTTATCCTATTTCAAGTGCCATCTGCTTCCTGTTGATACTTAGACTGACACAACACTACTGCCCCAAATGTCCTTATGGCTCACTCCCTCATTTCTTTCAAGTCTGTTAAAATGTCACCTTAGAGAGGCCTTCAGTAACTATAAAATAGCAATCTGACGGTCTCCCTGTACTCTCTACTTCCCTTACCCTGCTTTATTAGTACTTACCACCATATGTTCACTTGTTATTTTTTATTGTCTTTTCATATTTCCCCCAGGATGACAAAGTAGTAAAGCTAAATAATTCAACCAAATAAATATAAGCCAACTCACCACCAACTCCATACAGTCAAAGACCTTTTCTTGGTTCTGTAATATTTTCTGGTAGTCTGGTTTTGTATTTAGAACTTCACTCTGGGAAGACCCAAGATATGTTGTAGGTTCCACTTCAACTTCAATAATTCTGCCTTCAGCTGACCTTTTAAAAACAAAACAAAGAGCTATCAAGGAATTTATAATCATTTTCTGGGGAAGGCAGACCAAAGACTATCTTGGCAAACACCTCCTATAAGGTTTTATTAATTTGAATCAATATTCTTTCATTCTACTGTAGGTATACCAACTCCCTGCTGTCAAGTCGATTCCAACACATAGCGACCCTAGAAGACAGAGTAGAACTGCCCCACAGGGTTTCCAAGGAAAGGCTGGTGGATTCGAATTACCCATCTTTTGGTTAGCAGCTGAGCTCCTAACCACTGCACCACCCGGGCTCCACTGTAAGTACAGGCTCTCTTATTAATAAAAGGTTCTGAAATGATTGGCCAGCATTAATGTTTTTACACCATTGGACTCCAGGAAATCCTGGTCACTTGAAATTCAGACCAGATGACTCCACCTAACAGTATGGTCCTTGTACAAAAAAGACTTTATTTGGGGTAAAATGAAGCCAAGGCTTGATATCTTGAAGTCAGTGTCTATAATCTTTAATGAAAAAATAAAGCTGGCTAACATAACATTCAATGATGAAAAGACTAAGAGCTTTCCTCTTAAGAGCAGGAATAAGACAAGGAAGCCCACTCTCACTATAGCTATTCAATACCATACTGGAAGTCTGTCTTAGTTATCTAGTACTGCTGTAACAGAAATATCACAAGTGGATGGCTTTAGCAAAGAGAAATTTATTCTCTCACAGTCTAGGAGGCTAGAAGTCTGAATTCAGGGTGCCAGCTCTAGGGAAAAACTTTCTGTCGGCTCTGAGGGAAGGTCCTTGTCATCAATCTTCCCCTGGACTAGGAGCTTCTCACGCAGGGACCCCAGGTCCAGAGGACATGGTCGCCTCCTGGTTCTTCATTCTTGGTGGTAGGAGGTCCCTCTCCTGGCTGCTCGATTTTCTCTTTTATATCTCCAAAGAGACTGACTCCAAATACAACCTAATTATCTTAGTCATCTAGTACTGCTATTACAGAAATACCCCAACTGGATGGCTTTAACAAAGAAAAGTTTATTTCTTCGTAGTAAAGTAGGCTAAAAGTCCAAATTCAGGGCATCAGCTCCAGGGGAAGGTTTTCTCTCTCTGTTGGCCTTCTCATCAATGTTCCCCCAGACTAGGAGCTTCTCTCTACGGAGACCCTGGATTCAAAGGACGCACTCTGCTCCTAGCATGGCTTTCTTGGTGATATGAGGTCCCCAACTCTCTGCTCACTTCCGTTTCCTTTTTCTCTTAAGAGATAAAACGTTATGCGGGCCACACACCAGGGAAACTCCCTTTACATAAGATCAGGGATGTGACTTGGGTATGGCTGTTACAATCCCACCCTAATCCTCTTTAACATAAAATTACAATCACAAAATGGAGGACAACCACACAAAACTGGAAATCATGGCCCAGCCAAACTGATACAGACATTTGTTTTGGGGGGGACATAATTTTTTTTTTTTTTAATTGTTGTGCTTTAAGTGAAAAGTTTACAATTCAAGTTAGTCTCTCATACAAAACTTTATACATGCATTGTTATGTGACCCTTGTTGCTCTCCCTATACTGTGACAGCACACTCCTCCTTTCTTCCCCAGATTTCCCATGTCCATTCAACCAGCTCCTGACCCTCTCTGCCTTCTCATCTCACCTCTGGACAGGAGCTGCCTATTTAGTCTCATGTATCTACTTGAGCTAAAAAGCACACTCTTCATGAGTATCATTTTATGTCCCATAGTCAAGTCTAATCTTTGTCTGAAGAGTTGGCCTCAGGAATGGTTTTGGTTTTGGGCTGACAGAGAGTCTGGGGGCCATGTATTCCAGGGTCCCTCCAGTCTCAATCAAACCATCAAGTCTGGTCTTTTTAATAGAATTTGAGTTCGAGTTCTGCACCCGTCTTTTCTCCTGCTCATCAGGGACTCTCTGTTGTGTTCCCAGTCAGGACAGTCTTTGGTGGTAGCCGGGCACCACCTACTTCTTCTGGTCTCAGGCTGATGACGTCTCTGGTTTACGTGGCCCTTTCTGTCTCTTAGGCTAATACTTTCCTCGTGTCTATGGTGTTCTTCATTCTCCTTTACGCCAGGTGGGCTGGGACCAATTGATGCATCTTAGATGGCTGCTCACCGCTAGCTTTTAAGACCCCAGATGCCACTCACCAAAGTGGGATGCAGAACATTTTCCTAATAAACTTTGTTATGCCAATTGACCTAGATACATAATTTAATCCATGACAGTAACCTTGTAGATTGAGTCCTGTCTCATTAATATAACTGCGTCTAATCCTGCCTCATTAACCTCTATGATTTAGGATTTACAACACATAGGGTAATCATATCAGATTACAAAAAGGTGGACATACACACAATACTAGGAATCACAGCCTAGCCAAGTTGACTCAAATTTTTGGGGGACACAATTCGATCCATGACGAAGTCCTAGACAGGGCACTTTGAAAGAAAAAGAAATAAAGATATCCAAATCGGGAAGGAAGAGGTAAAACTAGCCCTTTTCACAGATGACATGATCCTATACACAGAAAACCACAAAGAATCCACAAGAAAGCTACTAGAGTTAATATATAAATTCAGCAAAGTTGCAGGGTATAAACACACAAAAATCAGGTGGGTTTCTATACGCCAGCAATGAGCAATCTGAAAAAGAAACTAAGAAAACAATTCTATTTACAAAAGAATCTAAAATAAAATACCTAGGAATAAATCTAACCAGGGAGGTGAAAGACTTGTACACTAAAACTATACAACATTGCTGAAAGAAACTAAAGAAGACCTAAATAAACGGAGGGACATTCTGTGTTAATAGACTGGAAGACTTAATATTGAAACATCAATACTACCCAAAACAATCTGATGCAATCCAATCCCTATCAAACTTCCAACAGCCTTCTTTGCAAAAACGGAAACTACAATCAACAAATTTATACGGAATTGCAAGAGGCCCCAGATAATCAAACCAACCTTGAAAAAGAAGAAGAAAGTAGGTCTCATACCTCTCGATTCAAAATGTACTTACACAGCTACAGTAATAAAAACAGTCTGGTACTGGTATAATGATGGACATACAGGCCAATGGAATAGAACAGAGTAAAGAAATAAACCCATATATCTATGGTCAACTGATTTTCGACAAGGGTGATAAGTCCATTCAATGGGGAAAGAATAGTCTCTTCAATAAATGGTGTTGGGACAACTGAATCTCCACATGCAAAAGAATGAAGCAAGATGCATACCTCACACCATATACGAAAATTAACTCAAAATGGATCAACGACCTAAATGTAAGAATAAAACTCTTAAAGGGAAAAAAAAAAAAAAAAAAAGCCAAACTAGTTCCTCCAAGTCAATTATGACTTATAGCAATCCCACGTGTGCCAAAGTAGAACTGTGCTTCTGTAGGGTTTTCAATGGCTGATTTTTGGTCGATCTCCAAGCCTTTCTTCCAATGCGCCTTGGAGTGGACTCAAACCTCCAACCTTTCAGATAGCAGCCAAGCATGTTCACCTTCTGCACTCTTAGAATAAAACATAAGGGTAATGCTTGATGACCTAGGTTCAACAATGGGTTCTTAGATATGAGGCCAAAAGCACAAGCAACAAAAGACAATATAGGTAAATCTGACTTCATAAAAATGAAAAGCTTTTATGGATCAAAGGACTTTATCAACAAAGTGAAGAGACAATCTACAGAATGGGAGAAACTATTTGGGAAGTATACATGTGATAAGGGTTTAATATGCAAAGTATATAAAGAACACCTACAACTGAACAACAAAAAGACAAACACTCTAATCAAAAAATGGGCAAAGGAGTTGAACAAACATTTCACCAAAGAAGATATACAAATAACCAGCAAGCACATGAAAAGATACTCAATGTCATTAGTCATTAGAGAAATGCAAATCAAAACTACCATGAGACACTATACCACTTCACACCCACTAAGATGGCTATTATCAGAAAAATACTAGAAGTATTTTGAAATACTACAAGTGTTGAAATACTACAAGTGTTGCCAAGGATGTGGAAAAATCGGAACCCTTATCCATTGTTGGTAAGATTGTAAAATGGTGCAGCCACTGTGGAAGAGTTTGGCAGTTCATCAAAAGGTTGAATGTAGACGTACCATAGGACCCAGCAATTCCAATCCTAGGTATATACCCAAAAGACTTGAAAACAGGAACACAAACAGATATTTGTACACCAGTATTCACCGCAACATTATTCACAATAGCCAAACGGTAAAAACAAACCACATGTCCATCAACATATTAATGGATAAAATGTGGTATATATCCATACAATGGAATAGTATTTAACCATACATAAAGAGAGAAGAAATTTTGGTACGCATGCATGGCCCTTGAAAACATTATGCTGAGCGAAAGAAGTCAGACACAAATGAACAAATATTGTATGATCTCACTTATCTGAAATATCTAGAGAACGCAAATGCACAGACATCAAGTTTATTAGTGGTTATCAGGAGTGAATAGGAGGTAGGGAAAGGGGCACTGAGTCTTTGTTAAGGGTAATGAAAAACTTGGAAACAGAGTGGTAGTGATGGTTGCACAACATGGTGAATGAATGTAATTACTGTAGTGTCAATGAATTGTACATGTAAAAAAGGTTAGGATGGCAAATTTCAGTCGTATATATTTCTACCACAGTAAAAAAAAGTAATTGCTAAAACTTGACAGACTTAATATACAGAATAAGAATTTACAAGCAAAATTCAAAAACTTGAACTAAGTTTTTTAAAAAATGTATAACTTTAATAAATATTCTTAAAAAAAAATGCTGGCTCACCCATCTCAATTATCTAAAATAAATGAAAACGATGGAGAGTTTATGAAAACCAACAATGACTGCAATGCAACAGGTTTCTCTTTATATAGGGCCTTTCTGGCTCTAGGTTTGTAGTTCTGCCAAGATGATTTGCTAGGCCATAATCTTGAAAGGGACTGGACAGTTTACTATGCAAATAACTTG